TTCCTACTTATGTATTAACAGGCCACTCATGACCCTGCTACCCAAATATTTTTGGTGGCATATTACAAAGCCACAAACACATTTGTTCTTTCCTTTCATTTTTCTCTCTCTGCTGCTTTTACTGCCTAGTTTGCTTAGTGGTTGAACCAACTGTGAGTAGGTGACTCCGAGGTGTCGTGTGCATTTCCACTGAAAAGTAACTTTTCTGGGAAGCGGATCTTATGGCAGTACAGTAATATCCCCGTTAATGCTGCCCCATTTAGCACTGTTTCGCTATAGTGCTCATTGGCAAATCCCATGAGCTGCTGCCATTTCAACATCATTGCTAATACTCATTTAGGTAGCCAATTAGTCATTCAGTGCTCTTTGTACGGAATACTGTGTATATATGTGGTCAGCTGCTGTGTACATTTTGGCAGATATTTTCTAGTGCTTTTTACCCATCATGTCGGGGAAAAAGTTTGCGAGTGATGCAAAGGAAAATAATTTTTCTGGATGTGAAACTGCAAGTGTTATGCCTGTTAGGCCAGCTCCTCATCTAAAACATAATTAAATAAGTTTTATTTTTGTTCTAATTGTATTTGTATTTGCACCCATCTAATATATACAAATGGTAAAATGACCCCGTTTAGCGCTCCATTTTCTAGGAACGTATCCTGAGCATTAACCGGGGTATTACTGTACTTTGAAGATGGAGGTTTAATCGCTGGTTGCAGAATTTTTTTTTATTGTTTCCCAATTTAGTGTTCATACACACCAACTGGTATTGTGAATGTCATGTCAGTTTGAATTTATACTGGTTATCATAGAGTGGTAACAGACATCCAAGATTTTTTTCTTCATGTTTTGTCACACATCTGGACTGGCCCTGGGGTCTGCTTAGACTGCTGTTCACTGGATACTAGGGCTTTTTTCTTAGGGTTAAAGTGACCAGGTCATTAAGCCAACCACATACAATATGGCCCAAAATGTACTTATCAAGTTCTATTTCACCTGAACAATAAGGCAAAAATATTTTATTCAGATACCATAAAAATTGGCATCTCAAGTCATTTATATTATGTGTTCAGTATGAATATTGGTTTCTGTCCTTGCTGTTGAAGCCCTGCTGCTTAGAGAGCAAGAATCTAAAATTGGTCCTGCCTTCTGAAATTTCTTGACAAGGTTTGATATTGTACCTGTCTGGTCCAACTTTTATGCCAAAGTTTGCCTGCAATGCTCTTCTGACCTTTCTGGGCTGATCAGATGTACTTTTTGATGTTGAATATTTACTGGTTGGTGCTGTAAGCTGCCATTATTTTGGTGTTTACAAAATTTAATGAAAACAAATGGCTTGAGTACTACAGTGTGTCAGCAGAGTTTCTGCAAACTATAGTCACTTGTTGAGAAAATTGAGTTTAAACTTTGTAGGTACAATTTGGGCTACTCTGTACCGCCTTGTGTTAATAACTTCCATATGTTTTTGTGTGTTCATGGTGTGGTACATGACTACATTTTGTCTGTTGATGTCCAGCTTGTGTGGACTCGGACATTTGAAAATTTCCATAAGAATCTGACAACATTTCTTGACCTCCACTAATGCAGTTACTAACTTTTATACAGAAAGTTCCTTTGCACTGATTTTTATTCAGGATTTTGCACATTTTTATATCTGATGATAAGAAAATCTTTTAGTACTTGAATGTTACAGTTTGAAGTTGTATGCATCTTTCTTGTTCCAGTTGGAAAGTGTGGAGAAAATAAGACTGTCAATAGAACTACAGACAAATGAAGTTAGGAATGCAGTCGAGGAGAAGCTGAAAGTTGCCACCGCACAGCGAGATGAAAATATCAAGAAAATGTTAGATAGGCTGAAGGAACATGTGAGTTAGCACCCAAATTTGGCAACAATTTCTGATTTGATAGAAGGGTCTGGATCTTCATTTGAAAAGTTGAGAACACAACAGTTTTAGATTATATGTTTAAAATGTGTGTGAGTTATGTTGTGGAGCATGTTCTAATTGTATTATGCTTTGTAAATGTTTAAGAACCATATTTGACAGATTTGCGTTGTGTGCACTTAAGAGGCAAACTGTTAATGCTCACGAATATTGTTAACCAAACAGTCTCAGTTGAGATATTTATGGTCCTGTTCTGAACATATGAGATACTGACCGTACTGTCCTCAAGTTTATTTAAATCCATGTACTGCCATTATCATCATCATCTTTTGTCCTCTTCACTAATTGTGAGTTATCGTATAATATTGTTTCACAATCCATGCTCCTGTGGAACACTGGTGTTCTGCAAGCTGGATTTAGATGATCGACTATTAAAGCTCTCTAATTGCGGCCTCTTCCTAATTCTCAGAAGAAATAAAGTTATGGTAATGGATAGAATTTTCTTAATTTAAGTTCACCCACTGATGACACAGAAGACCAGCATCAACATTACCATGAATAATTATTAAGAAAGTAACTGTCTTAAAATAAGGAGTAATTGTATGCTGCCATAATGAATTAATAATGTCTGCATTCTGGAATTTAAGTTTGATAATGAATTCTTTCTTTTTGCCACAAAGGCATCCATTTGAAGCCATTTTAGTAATTTCTGGACCCTTTTCTTAACTCTGAAATTGATATAATTTCAGTTTTGTTGAGTTATTTATGTGCATTGCATGTGAGAAGCTTAATATTTTTTGATGTTGTGCTAAATTCTAGATTTAGTGCTTTCACATTCAATGTTAGCAGTAATTTATTATTTTAATAGAATAATCATCATGCAAAATGGAACTTTGTCAGAAGTAGTGTGTGTGTTCAAGTCTGGGTATGTAACCTGTCTCTGGTAAGGTAATTCGTATTACCTTATTCAGACCTTTAGTTATCATATGTTGTTGTATCAGAAAATTATGTTGAATTTGGGTAGATATTCTGTATCTGATTTTGTGCATTTGAAATGGTGTGGGAATATGGGAAAAATGAATTTTTAAACCATGCTGTGTTAATGTCAAAGAATTTAAATATATTTAAGTAATTTGAGTGTGGAGGAGATGCCACTTCAATTTTACAAAATGTGCATGCTTGGACAAATGTTTCTGTGAATTGTTCTACATAAAAGATTTTCTTGATCTGGGTACTGTCTCTCAAAATTCATTATTGAAAAATTACCAGACTATCACTCGTGTTCTTTGTTACGTCTTAGGTTTTAAATCTATGGTGGAGTGCCTTGTTGAGATTCTGTAGTAAGAGATTTGTTGTGCCAGGAAGTGTATAGGATGATATGATTTTGTCCATAATTTTAAATGACTGCAACAACACAAAATCTTTGCGCAAAGTTCCATTATGCTTGAGGCAAGGGCTTGAGCACTGCTGCATGTTATGTATTGAGTGTGTGCAATGGACAGGAGGAGCAGGCGCAGCGTGTTCGGACAGGAATGCTTGAAAAGGTGAAGCAGCTGGAGTCTCAGATTCAGAGCAAGCTGGAGCTGGCACAAACACGACGTGAACAGCTTGAGCAGGAGCAGCTTGAGAAGCTGCGGAATCATGTGAGTATAATGACCTTCCCAGTACACATCCTTTACATTCAGTAAGTACTGTAATATTTTCATTGACCTTGTTTCTCGTTTAGCATGGTGGCATTATTGTAACCTGATTTTGGTTTGAGAGTACCCTAGTTTACCTTCCAATAATAGTAACATGAAGTCTTCATTTGATTTGGAATTACTTTGTTTTTTAACTTTTTAAGAAAATGTGTCAAGTTAGAATCCACATAGATTGGTAGGAATGAAGTGCTATAAGGCTTAATTCAATATTTGTTAGATTCATTTGTTTCAAGAATACATTTGATAGTGTGACTGACTGTGGGCTGAATAGCCAGGGTTAAATTTTCTTTCAGAGAAAACACTTTTTTTCTTTGTAACATTATCCAGACCAGCTATACAACATGCAGTTACCCAATTCCAGTTTTTGTGCCTCTCGCTAAAAGAAATGTGCTATTACCTTGCTGAATGTGTTGGGCTCAGTTTTTACTTGTAATGGAAAATTTGGAGCAGGGGTTCTCAACCTTTCAGGACCTGGGGCAACATTTACCTTTTTGTATTGACCCTTACAAATTATGCCAATTTATTGAAACTGCTAGCTAGTTCATTAAATGTGCTACTACTTTTCAAAACAGGTTCATATATTGCTCAGTAATTTTGTTTAACAGTTTTGTTGATTGTTACTTGTATTAAGTATTTCTTCGCTTTAAATTGTATATGTTATTGTAGGCAAAAACAATTTTTTTGTTGTGCAGAGTGATACAGTATTAAAAAAAATTACTTGGGCCATATAAAACAAGTGGGCTGCATGCAGCCTGCATATTAAGTATCCCTTATTTATGGCATTAGAAAGTGAAGGTCTTTATTACATACAAGTCGCCAAGTTTGGATTATAGAATCAAGGATGTGATGTGATGAGCTGGAGCTTAAGATTGGGAGTTTAGAGAAACAAGAAATGCGTGTCAGACTTTGGTGTGGGAAATCTAAAAGGGTGGCCACATGGAAGACTTAAGGGGGATACAGGAGGGTAACATCAAGTTGGGAATAGGATGTGAGGATGGGAAGTATATGGAATTACCAAGGAAAAATTGATGGAAGATTTGCAGATTTGGGTGGGAAGGGGAGGCATATTGTATTTCTTCGTTGTACTACAGCTGAGTCTGAACAGCTCTCTAATGCTTCTGATTCTTCATTTCTCAATTTCTTGGCATTGTCTGACCACTTGGTTTGGTCTCTTGATGCCTCATGGCTCTTTGTCCTAGAGCGGCTTACAGTACGTTCTATATTGTATAAGGTACATGATCATAACACAACTCGTGAAAGTTTGCTTCGTGATAAATGTAATGTAATACAAAGGCCTTCACAGCTGATTTGTTTTGGGAGTATATTTAAATATATTTGTTGACCGTGTGATCAAAATTACATCTTGCTTATCACATCTTTGGGAAAGGAATCATTTCTTGCTGGTTGTTTTGTTTTATTGGGTTTGGTTTTTGAATTTAATCTACTTTCCATTATTTTTATGCTCTTATTCTCCTCTGTATTTCACTTGACTCACGTGATGTTTCCTTTGTTTATGTCTTTTGTATTAACCAGCCTCTCTTTGTTTTCTTTTGCTTTTTGAAAGATTGTTGGTTATTGTATTGTATCCTAAGGTAATACAGAATTATTTAAGTAGATGTTTGAACAGTCTCTAGCTCATCAGGGCTGGACCAGACTCATTATTGTGCTCAGTACATATTGTTTAGAATTTGTGTTGTAGATATTCATACTTACTCTGCGTTCTTGATTTGTGACTTTAATGAGAAGTGTTCTTATTTAGCACTTTGTACAAATTGTAATTGAACTTTCATGAAATTTGTGCATGTTACCACCAGATGGGTTTACATGATCAGTTGAGAATATGTTGTAAAAACATTTTTTTTCCCCATACACCGGGGTTGTCAGTACAGTGGGCCATCAGTACAGTAGGGCACCGCTTATACGGCAGGGTAGGGACCAGACCCCCGCCGTAAAGCGAAAATCGCCGTAAAGCGGATCTTTGCCTTTTTTCACTTGCAAATGCATATCAAAGCCTAATAAGATGTTTACACTATCATATAGTAAGTGCACAATAGCGCTAGGCCTAAGAAAACGATATGAAAGTAAAATGAATATCAGTAGTACACACATTGTGGCGCGTTTGATCTTCAATCCACACAACTAAAAGTTTTTCCATGTCAGCAATAAGGCTATCTCTCTTTCTTATGACTTTAGAGTTCATTCGTGTGGCACTTTTAATTTCATTTAACACTTTCTCCTTAGCGTTCACGATGGTACTAACAGTTTGGCGAGCTAGGCTTAGCTTACGTCCTATCTCGGCCATAGACATGCCAGAAATACGGAGACGCGGAGCGCACAAAAGCTGTAAACAGACTGAATCAGCGATGATAAAATGGCGCCGGATGCACTTCTCTGACTCAGCTGTTGAGCGCCGTATTAGCGAATCGCCGTAAAGCGGAGCGCCGAAAAGCGGGGCCCTACTGTATCAATTGTTAATTGGTACTAAAGAAGTGTGGCAGATTAGGAAATGACAGCTATGGAACAATATATTGGTATGTTATGACAGTTCATTCCAAGGAAATCATGAACTTGGGCACTAAATCAATTTTTAAGGTAAAGAAAATGTCAACAAAGACTAAGCTTGAGATTGTAAAAAATTTGCTTGATTTTCTGCCATAGCAGAATGGAATTCACATTCTTCCCCTTTGATTTCTGAACAGAAATCCATATCAATAATAATTGTACTATTTGCAGCAAAACATGGGGGATAAGAGACTGGGAAGTAGATAGATATTGAGAGTCCACTGTATTGTTTTGTATGGAAACTTCACATAAAATTTTCAGTCCTGAAAGCATGGAAATTTTACCAGAAGTTAATATTAGTGGGAATTTGATATGCTGTCATCCATGTAACCTTACCAGCAGAAGAATGAGATGAAATAATGTAGTACTTGCATTCACTATTGCCAGGAATCAACAAAAAAGGTTTTCATATATTAATGGATTTTGCATGAAAAATTAAATTCACTGTTAGACATTTGCCTAATAGTATACAGAGTTATGTGAAGAGTGGTGTATTGGTCAAGGCAATGAATGGTATGCAGGACCAAAAGAAACATTGTTAAATTGGCATTTTAAGAATGTTTATCAGGGGCATGTTATGTAGGAAGTAAAATCAGTGTAATCTTTTGCAGGAATTCAGTATGCAGAGATTTGGTGTGAGGCTTTGTTATAGGGTACTGGCTGTTATTTCATTCTATTGATGTGTTACATGATACTGCACGGTAGTTGAATATGTTGCATGTTGTATGGCACTTTGTAACAGAACAAAGAAAAGCTCGCAGAGGTTCGGAAGACAATTGAAAATCACGCAAAGGAGATTGAGGAGAAAGTTGGCAAGTGTCTACAGCAACGGCTGGAGACTGCTAGTCAGAACCGTGCGAAGGAGATTGAAAAGATGCGAGAGAACATTCAGAAGCACGTACGTCTTCATTTTGGTTGCATGTTTCCTTGCTGCATTTGTATTCTGTTGTGCATGTTTAGATCTCATTGCACTGGATGTACCATTTTGTCAGTATCGTTTATAGAAGTACTTTTTATTTTGGTTACTCATGTCTTCCACAGGACTGTAATTAGTCTTCACATTTTGCCTTTAAGGCTGTCTTATCTTGTTTTGTTCTTGCAATGAAAACCTTGTGATTTTCAGTGTATGGAAGCAATTGTTTATCATTGTAGGAACGCCGGGCTGAGATGGTGCGACAGAATAAGGAACGTCTGACCAGTCAGAATGATGAGCAGCAGACTGCTTCTTCTGGCTAGTTGGTCATGAATGGAAGTCACCGCTGCCCAGCCCCCTCATCCCTTCCGAACAAGGAACAATGCTTTCGTCATTCATCGAGCTGCTTTTTATGAAAATAAGAGTATAAAAACCAACCAGGGAAATTTAATGGACACACCCTCTGAATTTAACAAGTTCAATTGTTAGTATCTTCTTGTTCTTTCAGTGTTTTAAACTTGCCTCAATTTTCTTGTGTGATTGTTGAAAATATTAAGGTAGGCAGTGTATACAATTGGCTTATGAAGAATAACACAAAACTATACCCATGCTTTTCTTGTTAAAAATTTTAAGCAGCAGCACCACAGACGAGAGGACGGTGGGAGCAAAATTGCTGGTTGTGCGGTTTAAAAATTCACTGCCTTTTTTCACCTTCTAGTATTGTGTAAATCAAAAGGGGCCATTACAGAGCATCAGACGATGAAGCAGTTTTGTTACTTGATGCTTTGTTTTGAGATTTCATAGCTTAATGTTAATATGTCTGGCTTTTGGTGCAGTATTGATATTGTAACTTGCAGTGAGCTGCCGTTATTGCTGATGTGAGGTTTGTTATATTATTGCGACATTTACATTTGGTACTTTGTGGAGACATGAAGCTCTGTTTGAGGCAAAGTAAGTTTGTATTCTTGTACTAAAATTATTCATTCTCAGGACTTTTTCCATCATCTGTTCTTTAAAACCATGACGTTTCGGAGTCTGGTTCTGTCTCCATCTTCAGGTGAGAGGTACCTACTTTGTTGGGCCCCTTTGATAGAGCTAGTCTCTGTCTCTTTGGTCCAGTGACAGACTAGCTCTAAGGGATCCAACAGAGTAGGTACCTCTCACCTGAAGATGGAGACTGAACCGGGCTCTGAAACGTAGTGGTTTTAAAGAACAGTCGATGGAAAAAGTCCTGACAATGAATAATTTTAAGTGTAAACTACTGTCATCAAAACCCTTTAGAATTGAATTCTTGTACTAAATTAAAAGTTATAACAAATCAACATACTTCAACAAGATAAATCTAGCTTCTGTGATGGGTTTATGCTAAACAACTGTTAATGGTTAGCTGGAATTTGTAGTTAGCTGGCATGTTTTTGTCCTACCAATATTCATGCCGTACTTAAGTTTGTAGTTATATTTGACTCTTGTATTGTTTTTTGGAATGGTTACACTGTTTTTTTGATGGCACCTGCAAAAGATTGTATAGGCGCACAGAGCTGTTTTAAGTGCCATTATGATTGTGGAAGGGCATGTCTTTCCAGTAGTTCTAAGCTACCAGAGAACCTAGGCCTAAATTCCAAATCTTGCAGTTAGTAATAAATAAGATAGGCTGATTGTGTTCACATCTTTCTAACCATTCCATATTTTTCACTTATTCCCTGTGTCCTCACTAATCTTAACACTTCTTAAAATTGCCCATTTCCTAGTTGCCTTGGGAATTACTGTCCCTTTGGACTGAGATAGAGATCATTCTTGCAGAATCTGTTTTGTGTAATTTCTTCAAATGTCTATTTTTGCATACTGTTTTGGAATTTTGCCTGTTTTGACATTTGGTTCAATTGTTCTATTTTGGTGAATTGTGCTTAGTATAGAAGTTGAACAAGCCTGAGCATTATAACTTGTAGTTTTAATTAACAAAATAAAGGTAGTTCATACATAAATTGTGTAGTTTTATTTCATGACACAATCAGTGGAATGATGAGTGGGACCTGTATTGTAATATGGTGTATAGCAATAATGAAGCATCTGTTTCTGTGAACAGCCTTCATTAATATAGCAGTTATATATAATCCCATGACCTTGGCATAGGTACAGGGTTTACATGAAATTTACAACAAGTTAGATTTTTATTATATTTTAAGCTAGTAAATGCTTCATACATTGAAGGGAATAAATTTGTTTTGTCACAGATGTTGGACATATGGAGAATTTACCTACTATTGGATGAAGTGAGAAGTTGCTGTAATGGTTCAGGTTGAGGAATTTATACACAGTATTACCAGCAGAATTTCATTTGGTTATAATGATTGACGTCAGTAAGATTTGGACCAATCAGAATTTCACTGTATAGTCAGCTGTGATCATAGAAGGGTAATGGCCGATGTTTGGTTGTTATTAGGTTTGGTCGTGTATTTTTCAACCAATAGTGTCTTAAAACCTTTTTACTGTATTATTTTTTATGTATGTGAAAGCTCGTATAGTACTTAAATATGTTGCTGAAGTATTCACAAGCCGAGAGGAGGACCAAAGCAAATGCCAACAAGCAACGTGCCACCGGTAAGTAGCAAGTGAAATACTACGAGTCAATAAAGATGGCGGCTTTGTATATATTGAAGTTTGTTGTTGACTATTGTTTGACATAGAACTTTAAGTTCGTTGGTAGTAATTGGCTCACGTATTGAATAGCTTGAGAAATCATTACAACATTAGTTACACTTCTGTTTATTTATTTATAAACCACTTGCTTTACGGCTTATATCTGTGTGCACCCATATGTTACTCATTACTTTTATTTTTTGTTTCTTACAGTATTAAACCACATTTTATTCACTGTAAGATACATAAAATCCAATTGTTACATGCATTTGAAGTGAGATAAATTGGCACTGTGGCGAATGCTAATGTGAAAACAGATGATAGTGTTGTGAAGGTTATGTTATGCCATTAAGATAACTTGAGGTTAGAAAGAGGAAATATATGTTTGTAATATTTTACATGTAATAGTTTTTTGTGCTTTCACGTTACAGTGATTCACATTGAGCAGTTTGTTTTACACAGGAATATAGGGATGAATTTTAAAATTTTTGTATTGAAAGTAGAAATGTGCATGTTGATTTAGACAGTATGCAGATCTATGTAGAATTTGTTCTCATGTTGCTGATTCAATTCACATAGTAAAGTAAAGGTTAGTGGACCATGAACTGTGTATGGGTTACTGTATTTACAAAAGTAACGGTGCCTTGTAGTTAATGGCGTTTATTGCTGTAAGCAAATCATACAGTTGTAATCAAAAACAATTTCCTGCCATTGTCATGTGACTGGTTGCGCTTAAAAACACTTGTATAACTTGGTGTAGAGGGACTTGTAATGTTTAAACCATTGCTGACTGATGTCATGGTTGATTTTTCTCCATTATTGAACATATTTATCATAGGATTAATGGTCATCCGACTTCCCGATGTTGATGTTCTCCAAGTTTATTAATGTGAAATATTATCTCATTTATGAATTGATTTCATACACTGACCTCAGAAGTGATTTGTTATGTCTAAGTATGTTGTTACATTTAACAGGTTTGTTAATGAATTCTAAGGTACATGAATTAAAATTGCAATAATAGATCTCTTATTGCATGAACTATGTTTTAGTGTTTGCATTGAACCTCTTGCAGTAATTACTGTCATTGTGATTGAATTACTACATATTACATACAGGCCAGCTGTTGGTATGTAGGTTTTCATGATAGTTTAAAAGCCATATCTGAAATTTGCTCCCATATTGATTTAAATGCATGCAGTTTGTCCCAGATGTTAATTTCGGAGTTTATTGTGCTTGTGTAATAATACATGAGGATATCACACAAATAAATTATAACTTATGTGAGTATGAAGTAACTGAGTAGAGTTATTCAGAAGCTGGTCAAATTCCCTGTCTTTCAGTTCATTAATATGTTCACAAGAACCCACCACATCCATATTATGAGCCTTTTTTTTATGTGTGTTTGTCAATATATAATTTGTTTTGCTGTACATGCAGGAAATTAGAAAGTGTTTGTAGATGATGTCATGATATTAAAATGGATTTTAGATGGAAAGGTGAACATGCAGATTTTGTTGATACAGCATATAATAGGGTAGAATGGCATTGGTGAACACGAGTTACATAATATAATTGATCAGCTGATTGAAAATTATATGGCATGGAATTATTCAGTTCTAGTCATGAGAAAGATGGTAGCTCTTTCTTTTGTCTTAGAGCCTTTACCATTTGTCCATTGTCTGTTTATCGCAGGAATTAGGGCACTAATTTCAGAAAACTATTAGTGTAATATTGCGGGAGGTTATAAATTTGTTTTAGAATTTATGCGTGAAGTTTCTTCCCAATTGTATTGGCTGATACCATATAAGAACAGCACACATTACTGAGATTGTCTCTCTTAACTTTTAATCATGGGAATTTGGTAGCTTGTTCATGTAAATGGTGTATAAATACAATCCATCAGTTTCTAATGTACAAGTTTGGCTGCCGCCTCTGATCAAATTATAAGTATTCAAAGGAAATGACTTGTCTGCAGTCGTTTTTTATTGTTCTGCTAGACTAATAGAGTGAGTTGGCTCAAGAGATAACATGTCATAATTATATTTCGGTGGTACTTGGTTCTAATTGTGGCTGGAGCATTCTCTATCATGACAAGTATTTTGTGGTATTTAGGTAGCTGTAGGCACATTGTAAAGTATGTTGTCTACCTAAATTGACCATATTATGCCAGTTTAAAAATCTGTTGTTTTCTATCACTTCCATTCCAGTTATTTGTTTCTGTGACCTTGACAAGTTCATAGTTGTTACCTTTGTGGTATTTGAAGCATGACCTAAGTCTAACTAAGTATATTTGCAAATAGTCTTGAAGTTTGCCTATGTGATTTAATGTTTGCTTTATAGCATTTTTGTCAGTGTTTAATTTTCAGTTTCATAATGCTGGGGAAATTGTTTTTTTTAAACATGTATAGTAGAGATGAATCTTGTTGCAACAGTGGCATGTTCTTGTGGTTGCCATTGTTGCCACCATTGCTATTGTTGTTGCTGTCCTTAAACAAATGCATTAATTCTGAGTTATGATTGTTGGGGGATTTAATAATGTTTTTTTTTGCATGACCTGGCATCTAGTCCATGATTTGCCACTGATATCCAGTGTATTGAGTTAGAAAATGTATAATTTAATATGTTAAAACAAAATAGAAAGATGGTATATGTTGTTAATGACCTTCCATTGTGTCCATTTATTTCTCTCCAGGAAATGAAGTTCTTGTACAGTTTAAGGGACCAGCATTCATTATATTGGTATTCATTTGGAGCATTTTCTTGTTTTTCTCAAAATATAAATTGCCTTTCCTACAGACATTTTCATGTATTATTTACAATCATCATAGCATATCTTATTGGATACAGTTTAACTCCTGTAGTTAAGGCAGTGGTGTACAAGTAAGGTAATGAAATAACCAACCATGAACTTAACCATCTTTCTGCTTCTTTTTTCTGTTCATATGACATGAAAGTTCAACATGCTAACAAGGAACCTGCTTTTGGAGCCTCAGCCAGTTCAGTCCAGTCCACGTCATCACACCTCCTTTGAGATCCATTTCAGTCTTGTTCTTAATTGACTGCTTTTCAGGAACCTTCCATATCAGAATTGTCCAACAGTTTTATTTCCCTCACTCGGGTTAAGTGACAGCACAATAAATACATGTATATGTATTTTCAAAGTGTATTCATTGTGTTTTTGTATACGTTATTGATCTTGATCATTTATTGCAGATAAAAATCCATGTTAAAGCATATTGCACTGTAGGTTATCATACTCAACTGAGTGAAAATCTTTTTAGTCCTGTGTAAATATCTACTGTATCAGATATGGAATTAAAATTTTTGAGTGGTTTTGAGATTTTATTTTGCTTGTATCTTTTTGTGCTATGAATAGATTTGCTGAAATTCAATTTGGCTTCATGCTGTTTGCTCAACAATTTTTAATGTGGACCTTAACACATGCAAAATTTAATCAGAATTCATTTATTACTTGTGAAAATGAAATATAACAGACATACCTCATTTTATAAAATACCTATAAAATCATAATATTAAGGGTTCTGGGATGTTTTATATATGTAAATATTGTTTTGGGTTGTTAATAACTACGGATTATGTGACTTTCTGTTGATGTGTTATTTTGATTTTTTGATGTGATTAGATAGCAGTAAATACCGTTTTAAACAAAACTGAGCTTTATGAATATAGCCAAGAATTTGTTTATGGGGAACTGTTGCTGATATGTGAGTGGAGTCCCCCAAAATAATTTGTTTAATTTTGTGCTTAGTCAAAAGCACAAAATAAAATCTTTATGTAAGTAGAATATGGAAAGAGACTATCTTCCCAAATTAAACTGAAGTACAGATTGGCAAGAACAAGAAACCAAGGAGAGATGCATAGAATTTGAGCAACTGAGGCCTGAACTGGTTCAACTGAAGTGGTTGAACTCTTGACTTCTTGATAATGATGATGATGGGTTTTGGATTTGATTAATGACCAAGAGATAGGTTATAGTGATTAAGGAATATTGTGGCCTTCCTTTATCACTCCAGGCATACTCGGAAGTAGTACGGTAAAATGGCACGACTGCATTATTCCACTTTAAGATCAGCTACATATATGTTTGATTCTTTATACCATGTTCAGGTGAAACACTAGTCTGACCAATGAAGCTGTGCTGTAACAGCATGTATCGAAAATGCAGACATGTCAGCTTTGTGAACTTTTAGAATGACTAAAATTTGGCATAATAAATGCTACACAGCAATAAAAGTAATTGTTTTAAAACTGGTTACAGCAAATATTTTTATAACAGTGTAGTTTTGACAAAGCACATAGAAAAATAAGTTGTCTTAATGCC